GTTTATGTTCTGTAAAACAATTACACTTACATACCTTTTGGTTTTACGAGGAGAAAATCATGTTGTTATCTTGAAAGCTTTGGCGTTTTCGTGTACAACAAACTCTCAAAACTTCTTCCCGATACGAAACTTTAAGTTAACTTAATAAGTCTATGATGTTTTAAATTCTCTGTTGTAAAATAAAAATTAAAAACAAAATTAATTTATAATCGATTCTGCGCCATTTTTATAAATTATAACTTGTTATTTTTTCATTATATAGTATGTACAAATATGGAGTGCTGAAATCAAGCATCCGCTTCCGGTTTATTTGATTTTTTTTTCACACAGGCTTTTTCTCAGTTCGACATTCAAGCTGATTTTCGAACAATATTTCTTCTTGCTTTATGCTTTCTCATGCAGGCCTTTTCTTTTTATGTTTCATCAAACATATTCATGACAAAATCACATACAACTATTTCTTTTTTATTTTGTTTAATCTTAATACACATTCGCCATTAACGACTCTCACATTCACCACGATTTCAAAACCAAGCAAATGAAATCATCACATATAAATGCGATTCCTTATATTATTAATTTTATATCACATACAAATGTGATTGCTGTATTATGAATTTTATATTAATCTATTTGTTTTACTTTTTCACAAAATAACTGAGCAACCAGACCACGACGAGGGCAATAACAAACGTCTACTCACAACGATTGACAAAATTACAGTGTTTCGAAGCAAAGCAACTATTATTGTGACGGAATGTAATCTATTGTGAATTGTAGGGCTGCTAAGTTTTCCTTTTTATTTACGAGGAGGGATATATAAACTCAGAACGTAAGAGTAAAATWAACGGTCACGTTTAGATGTTTTAATAATTTTCAATTAGAAAATTAACATTTCTTTTGTTTATTTTCCACCGCATTTAATTTTTATTTTATTGTTGCTTTCATGGTGGATTCGGTCACGAGTAAATTTGCTTCAGTATCACCAATACGGAATCTTAAGAGCATCATATTTAATTAGCTCGCGGGAGAAGAAAGGAAAAGTGAGTGAAAAATGTAGGCATATGTCAATTTCGCTATGTGGTAGTAAATCAACAATAAACAATCTTATGTGAGAGAAAAATGAGTACCTAAGAGTTACGAAATGACAAGTAAAATTTCGCTTTTTACTAAACCTCTCTCACACAAATAAAAATAAAAAAA